TCTATTATTAACTTTTAAAGTCCAGCAATTTATACTCAAAGAGAGTTCACTTAGTTAACATTTGAGCCATTAGGCCGGCATGTTGGGCATTAACTGTGGGATAAAACTAAACGCTCACTAAATTCAGAAATAAATTGAACTGGGACAATTTATAATTTGACTGTACTTCTTTAAGGTCAACCCCCCCCCCCTACCATCTCCTTCCTTCAAATTCATTCCATCCACTCGGTTGAAACGTCCAAGATCTCAATTGTTGCCTTTATTTTTCATCGATCAATATCAATTATTATATTTTCATAATGGGGGTGTGCGATAGACTTACCTCCACGTGGTGCAGCCTGGACAACGTATACTCATACGGCTAAAAAGTCCATTAACCGGCAGTTGACTTCTCACTTTAAACTACCATCACCCCACTGTATGTCATATTCCACCACTTTCACAGTACTCACCTTACCCTACTCTCCACCTTTGTATCTGTCTCTTTTACATCTATTAAACACTCTTCTGCCCCCCCCCCCATCTCGATTTTTTTCTCTTTGATATTCCTTCCCTTCTATGAAGCCTGAAGTCAACTAGAGGGCTAATGATAACTATCAAAACGCCTGCCATTTGCTATAAATAAATAAATATTTTCTTAATATTTTGAGAACGAGATTAAGAATTGTTTTTTTTCCTGATGAGGATGAGGATGGAGAATGGGAAGTGAAATGGGTACGAATTGTGCATATCATCATTCAGATAATGTCATTGGCTAAGCTATAGGAGTGAATAATACGTATGAAACAAAGCAGATAATCGTTTTGTGATTCAAGTTGTCATTTTCCGAATTACTGATTTGTAAGATAAATAATGGTCTATTCTTTGTGGTTTTAAAATTTGTTCACTTCAGGATGATTCACTAAGCTTACATCATTCTGTTTTATGATGAAAAGCAATTAAGATTAAAACTTAATTGCAATTTATCAATTATTTAGCTTTGCCAATTAAGTCATGTTAATGGGTCTGGGTTACATATTCACTAGCTCACATGAAGCTTATAAGATTAGAAAAAAAGCATTGCATGTCAAAAATTTCTAAGCGGGGGTGGGGTGGGGTGTGCAGTTCTTCTTCCCACAAAAATTATTTGAAATGTAATGATGTATGATTTTGGAATTGAATTAGTTCAAGAGTTTTCAAACTAACCACCTTATATCATCTAATGTCACCTAATGTGGTAATTTGACTTCTCCTATTTTTTGCCAAAATAGAAACCAACTATTGGGCTTACTCTTCAAGGAAACCTTTTGGAGAAAGAAAAAGTTTTAACTTCAGGCAAGACGAAGGGAATGTATCAATGACTGTCACCACAAAGAATCAGTTAGAATCTGGCACAGATTTCAATTTAATAATCTGGACTAAAGCCTGATTGAGAATGAGTCTGAAATTTTGTACCTTCATTTCGTTAACATACTTATCCTTATTCGCAATTATTTGTTGATTATGGGTAAATGGATAGTGTCGTTTATCGTCTATTCTCAATAGTTTCATTAAAGGCAAACTGACTTTCAATGACTTATTTTATTTTTAAATGCACTTATTTAAACTAATTAATGGTTTTGCTCTTCCATTAGGCAGGTTTTTTAGAATACAATAAATTCATTTATGGCCTTGACTGCATAAAATTTCTGTTTATTTATCAAAAGTGATTTATGCATCGGTTGTGATTCCCATAAATGGGTGAAAGACAGGCATAAGCAACGGGTAAGACAAGTCTGGAAGATATACCTAACGAAATTTATTAAAGTAGTCAAGTAATCTATTTATACAGTTTTTTTACGTTAATGTCATAATGCGTAATTAAATTATTAATCAGACAATAGACTAATCGATGAATTGATGTTGACTCAATCGAGTTACTGTTATGACTTATTAATGATATTTCACGTTTGACGCATGACGAAACTTTGAATAGCCCTCATTTCGATAACATGATAGGCTAAACCAAAATGAACAAATTTGTTACCTTAAACTAACATTATTGAATGCTGCATTTGTGTCGGATCAATACCAAAGTTTAAATATGCATTAAAAAGCGTATTTTAATCACACCAACAGCTTTCAATATGTTCATCTGCACAACAATGAAATTTCATAAAACATTGATTTGGAAAGCCAGCCATCAAATATTTCATTTTTTGTTAAATCTCTCTCTACTCTACATTATTGAAATTCTTATGGGACCTATAATTAATAATCGTCAACAAACAGCAAATAACGTTAGTTACTGTGAACCACGCGATGCTTGGATAGAAGTTACCGACAAACAGCAGGTAAGAAGCGAGTTAACTGGCGAAAAAAGGAAACAAAAGAGCAAAAAATGTAAATTAGTGACTAAATGGTAAGGAAATACAGTCGGAGCGCTAGAATCTTGCTTCACCGCCACCCATTTACTCATTAACAGTACCTTGAAGAAAATAAGCTAAAAAAGACAGAGATATCACGAAAGCGCTGAGAAAACGCCTCTACGAAATATTAGTGTTGCTCTTAAAGTTTTTTGCAAGGAACCCTTAGAGGCAATATTTCCATTCTATTTGCCTATCAGGCGGCGCCTACTCTCTCTTTTGCTCATGAATATCCTAAAACACACCTTGATTTTTGCACTTCAAGCCTCCTTTAAAGCGAATACTTACTGCCTGAGTAATGCGGCTTCTGTGCTTATAGAACCGCGCTATTTTATTAGTTTATTCAAGGTCATATGCATAATCTAAGCTGTGCTAATCAGTACGTTTGCCATGGCACAAACGGGAGCACAGTAGTGGAAAACCATCTGCCAGACCTGTAGCACTCATTCCAGATGAATCTCCAATTAAATCGGTCTGAATTGCGAGTAAATGTCTAGTTAATTTTTTAATTTATTATTTTTTCATTTTTAATTATATCCTTTAATGTTTGCAAATCATACAATAATATTCACAATCCACTTAAACAAAATTATTGCTTTCCATCAAGGACCTTAATATTTCTTAGCGGTAAAATCTTGACAGTCATTGTTCGACTAGGTTCAGATTTATATATTTTGTATAATTAAACTGAATCTTTCTCAACTAAGTAATATTAAATATAACTGTAGTAAGTCAATTGGCTGACAGGACTTATTTGTCAAGTAAATTCTTTCCTTGCTATTATCAAATTAATGTCATTATTCAGAGATTTATATAACCATGCCGAAAATGGCAGACTTGTTACAATTATTAGTATTACTTACACTAAGACCTATCTCAGCTGCCAAATCCAATTTGCTCATTTCTCTTCAGTTGACTTTATGAAACTAGCATTTTTTGGGTAATATTTCCATTTCAGTTTTTTTATTTCAACATTCGAGGACGTGGTGAACTCATTCGATTAATCCTTCATGCCGCTGAAAAAGACTTTGTCGATCAACGTGTGACCAGCGCTGAATGGACTAATCTGAAACCCAAAATACCATTCAAAAAGCTACCAGTCTTGGAAGTCGCCACGCCGAATGGAGATACGGTCATGCTGACTGAGAGTATGGCGATTGCTCGCCTTCTAGCAAGAAGTTTCAATCTCTATGGTAACGACGCCGGTGAGATCTACCTGATTGAACGATTTAATTCATTGGTGAGTTGGCGCAGTTTTTTTGGCAACTAAAATAACAGCTTATCAACTGATAATAACATCTTGACTTTGCCAAAAATTGCTTCGGTGTCATTAGATTAAGGTTTCAGCTTATTTTCAAATTGAAAGTTAGAATAAATAAATCTCTATAGTGTTAAACTTAAAATAATATGTGCATTGATTGAGCAAGGCTGTTTAGTTGTGCATGATTCTGATATTTAAAAGTAAATGTGCTTGGACATATCTTGAGACTATTCTTCTGCGAAATTATTCTCATCATGCAGCCAGAGTTCAGTGGGGTGTTAGAGCTTTGTTGAACTTGAAGATGCGTCATTACACTAACTGAAATAATTTCCACATTTCAATTATGATGTGCAGAGTTCTGAAGTGCTTACATTTGAAGAGGTGACAGTGTGCACAGTGTATTTCTGGGCATAAAGGGTCTATATGTCATTGGCTTCGAAGTGTAATTTAATCAATTTTTTTCAAATTGTAATAAAACTGAGTAAATTCGCAGAAAAAGATTAATTTTAAAATTATTTGACCTCACTGAAATTTCTTGGGTAGGGTCAAAATCAATACCAATTTTAAATATTGATCTCTTCATCTCTTTTAAAAGCAATAGGCAATTTTTTATCATGAGAAAGTAACTGACTACGATACGCGCAAAATACAATCTAATATATAGGATGTATTGTTAAATGAGGATAAAGTTTGGATTTCGAATGGGCTCAACTACGTTTAAATTTAGATTCTGCATATTTTGGGTAGATCACTGCTACATGTATGATTGCTACAACACTGAAAATTTGGGCATTTCCTCTGGATTCGAGAATTAATTGATATTCAGTTTTTATTGGACTATTCACAATTTTAAGGAACCTTTCTTCCAATGGACAAACTATTAACAGTCTAATTTAACATTTTTCTATTGCAGAGTTCCCAATGCAGCCAATTGTTGTCAATTCTAATAATAAAATTTTCTCTGAACGTACGAAGTATGAGATAATTTAATAGACATGAAAATGTGGTCGAAATATCAAAAGCCTTACGTTATTCGATTCCTGATGACAATTATTCGATCCCTTTCTCTTAAGGAATAAGTCTCATTTTGCAATATGGAAATCTATATCTATTTTTTAATCTCTGGATTATTTTTCGTTCAATATATATTTGGCATCCTATTCAGTGCTCATTTATTAGTCGGTCAAACGGCCCTACTTGGTTCTCCATCCTCTTAGGGAACAACCATAGACATTGCCTCATAAATAAAATACAGTAAACCGAACAGGATGGTGTTTGTGAAAATAACTCTGGAAAACGTCCACTATTTTTAAATATTGTTCCTCGTTAAAGCATTACTTGGTCATGAACCGCTCTGAATTTTTTTAGTCTTATGACCTCCTAATTCTCTCATAATTAATTTCTTAATATAGTAAATTTAAAATTATTCCTAGATATGGTAGTTAATTCTTTTCGGTGTAAATTATACTAATTAGTCTTCGAAAACTTTCATAATCAGAGGTTAGAAAACATTATCAAAAATCAATTGACCACAATGGGTCGTTTTCACCACACCCATAGTAGTCTTACAAAAACAGGAAATAATTTCATTTACATTTGTAAGTTTTCTTATGTTCAAAATAGTTTTTAATCGTAATTGTTGACAAAAGAACGTGAATGCGCAACTAAGTTTTCCTTCAATCATTTTCACTTCATTAGCCATTGGACAACGATCGGCCAAGTGTTCGTGACGATGTTGACGTAATTATATTTCTATCAAAATCAAAATGGCCGGGTTTAGTTAACTAAAAATGGTTAAGAAATTTCATTGTTCAAGATAATAATAAGTCAGCCTTAACTGCTACTACTCTTTAATAGGTTTCAGCTGTCTCCAAATGAAAATTTGATAATTGTTACTGCTTCCGTTCTCTGAAATTAGTTATTGGTGATCTAAAACCATAGATTCGAATGCATGAAATACAGTTTTCAAATTTTCTGCCTAATACTGATCAAGAAAGGCTTGAGGTAATGCCAATTTTTAATCGAAAAAGGCATTAGGAAGCTGATTATTTTAATCAGAAGAGGTGATGAAAACGTCCTATTTATAGCATCCAATTTATAAATTTACAAATTGGAGTCTTCAAAATCTTTACCATGAAGTAGAAATGACTAAGTAACTGAAAGATTAATCTCTACAAGAATCCGGCTTTGCAAATTATACTCAGTCTAATTAAATGAATTTAAAAACCATCAGTCAAGATTCTCAATCATATTTTCTCATAGCTTGAGTGACATTTCTGGGGTAAGATCGATCTAACCCTCTTTTATAAATTTAAAAGCGCTCTACAGGCATTACTTTACTGTCAGTGCCAACTCAATGACTCTCATCTGCGTGCTTTGCGTAATTGATTTGAAAGTATACTCACAGCGGCAAGCAATCGTTTTGATGATTTAATTCATACTATACCTCGTAATGCAAAAGAAAAGTAAAGTGATTATCATCTATTTCTTCTATTTTCGGAATTAATGCAGCTTATAATAAGTCTGCACCCCGCCCCCCCCCCCCCCCCCCCCCCCAATTGAAAAAAAGAGTATATAATGTAAAAATGAATTATGAAAGAAGGCTTCCATACACAGAGCATGATTCATGAAACGTTTGAATGGAATTTCTTACTCCTCATCAGTTGGTTTGATCACTATTTCCATGATCATGTACCATGTACCATGTTAAAATTTATTTATTTATTTCGAATGCCAGGCGTTTTGATAGTTGTCATTAGCCCTAAAGCTGACTTCGGACTTCTCAGATGGAAGGAACATCATAGGGAGAAAAATTCGAGAGGGGGGAAAGTAGAGTGATGCACAGATGTTAAGAGACAGATGGACACAAATGCAGAGAAAAGGTAAGATGAGTACTGTTGAAGTGATCGAATTTAACATACAGTGGAGTCATGAGAGATTGAAGTCGGAAGTCAATTGCCGGTTTATAGACTTTTTTACCGTATGAGTATACGTTGCGCAGAGTGAACCACGTGGAGGTAAGTATTTCGCGCACCCCATGTTAAAATCTTAAAACTACCGAATTGCCGGTAGGCAATTAATGAGCTGTTCCCAAACTACACGTGAAGCTCTACCATGCCAATAATTAAATGGAAAACGTCGATTGGATGACAAGTCTTCACTCTTCTTTTCTCTTTAGAATTAATCAAAGCATGAACCACTGGACAGCCTAGATTGCAAGGATTCGAATTAGAAACTAAGGTTGCTTTAGGTCGGAAATCTCACCTATTCCCCTTAATATTGACACAATAAGGGGGCATTTCCTATAGTTTAATCTGTTCACTTTCTGAACATCAAGATTCAGCGTGGTAATGTTTGGTAAAATATGTGGCTACAATGACCTTTTCCATTTTTTTTCCTATAATTTTGCAGATATCTTCCCTCTTGGAAGGAATCTATTCTTCCAACCTGAAGGACGCTGATAACTACGCCAAGATTGCTAACGCGGAGCAAATCTATGAATACTTTGATGTAAGTTCGTAAACATCTATCGTACTTAACCCCACTGAAAAATTTGCCTTGAGGTAGAAAAGATCATCAATGCATATACTACTTCCTCATACAAGTAGTACACTTAACAGTATAATTAAATCTTGTACGCAAGTTAGCACCAAACTAAATTAGTAATCAATACGCTTATGGATATCCCCATATAAACCGCTCTTAAGGCTGTCAGGCTTCCTAAATCAAAAGACCGAATTTGGAATTTAAAAAGGCGCAAACAAATGTTGGATCAACGTTTCGAAAATTAGGTTATGGTGATAGGTCAGTATGGTAAGTTGAATTGATTATTGTGCTTCTTTTCTCTGTCTAGTAAACAGTAAAGGCTGAGTAGACGAATAACTTATTATGGACTTTCAATGGATTGCTGCAAACCGGTTTATATAGTTACAGGTTTTGAGCTTTAATTTAACAGACGATGACATTTAATGCCGTATAGTAGTGGTTGAATTGAGAATTACTTGGGCACTGATAATGGTCGTTGTCCGGTAAAAAACGAGAAAATTTTTATCAAACGAAAGTTAATTGTCAATTTATGGTTCATTATGCTTGAAATTAGCATAGTCACTAGAATTGGCCAAATCTCAGTGACGTTATCTTGTATGATTTTGAGGTGAAGCTTATCCTTAAGGCATTTGCATATTTACATTGAGTTATGGGATTTGGCTATTTCGGAGAGATTCAAAATTATATCAACCATAAATTAAATTATTGAATTTATGAACCAAAAATTCTTAAAGCAGCCAATGTTGCCGATTGGAACAATGTTTTATTGGATAAGTTCTAGGGACTTTAATTATATTATTTACCAACCGGTAATTTAACTTGAAGACAAAACACTATCGATTTTTCTGGCTGAAAACGTGCTACGATTCAGCTCAAACTATTTACAATATAAGGTAATTCACAATACCTCGCATAAATAATCCAAGGGGTAAGCGTTTGTCTTTATTAAGAATATAAATTTTGTATAAATAAAATTGTTATATTTCGTCAAGGTTAACAGCTAATAATTATTTGCAATCATATTGTTCTCCATGATAGTAAATATATATTAAGCTATTTTGAAGCTCAGCTCCTTATTTAGTGCTCTTTCCAGAGCTACACACAATTTAAAGCAGCGGCCATAGTCAGTAGTGTAGCGGATTGCTACTTTATTAAAGCCTGACTGACTCAGAAATCCCTATGGCAGATCCTCCTACATCTAGCTAGACTCCCAGAACCATCTAAGCTATACCCCAGCTATAAAGGAAACAGACGTTTAGCACGGAGCACGTTTGTTCAGGACGTATATTGCGGATCAAGTGTGTACACGCAGGGAGCTACTCATGATCAGGATGGGGGATTAGGTTAAACAGAGGTTGATGATTAGTCACTGTTTGTACGGTCGTTGCACACAGAGTTGTACGGCGCACCTCCCAATCCTGGCGAGCAGACATGCAGGCATACGATGACGCACATAGCGATAACGTGTCCCACAGTAGTATTGTGTTCTAAGTTAGTACGTTCAGAGATTTAATGATCAATAACACACACACATTACCAAATAATTACTCTGATTCAAGACCGATTTTCTCGAAGTTAGTGCGTCATTCGTTATATTCGTGACTCTCGCTTCAGTCCCAAAGCTTTTCTTAAAGTGTTCGCTAATTAAGCGTAGAGTACGTACTCAATAAAGCCCTACCTTAATGAAATCTCTTAAAGTCACGAGAGGCAAGCATGAACTCCATTTGTACCAATAGACTAAAATAGACCAATCTCTTCAATTCCATCTTTAAGCCCATAGAGACTATTAATTGAGCAGATCTGGAATTGCGATTTGGCCAATCCAGACGTCATAACTAGAAGGTAGCAGACGGACCAACAACTCCAAACAGTACCGTTGATTAATTGAACGTGTCACCCAGAGTAGACTGCAGTGCAAATTTACTAGAGTAAAATGATCGTTACGAGTGGACTCTAGCATCACCATTCAAAGAATTAGCACTTCCTATATATGCTTCAATTCTGTAACGATTAGCACACTTGTCTACGAGATTAGGAGTTTAGGTTTCGAAGTCCATCAGTGCAAACGCGGCGAAAGGAAATACCTTCCACTGATTAAACACGATTAATGAAAGGGAAGAAGTATTCGCTATTCTCCTCAGGGGGGGGGGACTCGATGATACTGTTCTCAAAGGCGTACGCACATTGGAATGGGCTGGCAAATATATGCAATCGGAAATTCACTACAGCTTAGAGATGTTCGTGCTTTTTTCAATTTTAAAATTGTTAGACACTTGACCTTGGGGTGAAAAATTAACTAGGGTCAAATCTAGAGAAGCAAATTATCAACCACAAATCCAGACGACCTTGAGCTTTAAATTACAGAAGCAATGCACCCGAATCCATTAGGTCGAACATTATCTTTGTGTCTGAACAAATCAGGATGCGAAAGCTGACCAACTTAAAGCAAACGAACACTCCAATATCTGACAAGGCTTTTATTTTGCAGGCTATAGAAACAGCGCTGAGGGAACGCAAAGGCACCTTTGTTGCGGGCAACCGTGTAACTATAGCAGATCTTCAAATAATTGTACTCATTGACACAATTGACAGATTTCTGTCGAAATTTAAACACGACTGCGTGGGCAAATTGCATGAAATCAAGGAAAGTGTCCTTAGGCAGAAGCCAGGCGTTGCAAAATATCTTCGATCGCGTCCTGTCACTGATTTCTAATACCCCTTTCTAAAATACCCGCATTCTTCGGCACTTTTAGTAGAAATTCCTATTTTTCGAATATTTAGAAAAAAAGATCACACAAAAACAATGTTTTTTCAAGGTTTTCTTGGAGGGAAAGAACTTCGAAATAACTACTATATGTAAATACAATTAATGTTCAAAAAACATATGTATGGAGACTGACAGTCCTTTTGTTTGAAAGACGGCCTATTCGGCGGAGAAAATACGTGAGGAAACATCCTTGATAAGCCAACCGACGCTCTCAAGAAGGTTTTCACCCGTTACTGCGCTACAGCCATAGATACTCCAGTGATGAGTTGTAATATTTCTGAGATTAAGAGCATCTGCTATCTCAGCCGGCTTCAGAGCACCTAATAGATCCTATGGAAATAAAAAGATTGCAATACACAAGCGAAACTATGAGGCATTATTGATATTAAATACGTGGACAAACCTGCTTGTTAGCAAGTACTAAAAGAGTTGCTCCAACTAAACGTTCTTCCACAAGTAGCTTCCCCAGTTCCTCTCGACAATCTTCCAACCGTAGTCTATCAGAACTGTCCACAACCCATATAAGTGCATCTGTTGTTTCGAAATAGTTCCGCCAGTAGGATCGGAGAGAACTCTGACCACCAACATCCCAAGCGTTTAATCTGTAACCCATATACTCCAGGGTATTGATACTGAAACCAAGTGTTGGAGCGATTGTAGAAATATCCTCTCCATTAAATTTCTTGACAATTGTCGTCTTTCCTGCATTATCCAGCCCCCTACAGGAACCAAACTTCAGTATAATTAAATGAACACAATTATCTCTACGAATTAATAATAAAGCACCTACAAAATTAGAACCCTAATCTCTTTCTCCTTTTGCTTTAATTTCTTTAATATCGTCATCAAACCCATAGCTACGAAAACTAGTGTAGGTGTATGATCATTTTGGTTAATTTGCAAGAACATTCATATCTCCTCATGTTCATAGATACGTTTAAATGCCCATTTAATAGAAGTGTGATTTATTAGAGATAGTTATTTATTTTACTTTTAATCCGAAGATATTTGCTATTCTAGGCATAATGCATTGCTTTTTAAATTATGATAAGTGCAAGTTGTTGTCAACTGCCCAATTGCTATTCTTAGAGAAACGAAACAACCAACATTATCTACCTTAGTGTTGAAACTAATAAGTTTTAATTTTAATATCATTAATGAAATTGCGCTATTTTGAGCATAGAGTTCACTGGTTAGGTAATTGGTATTTCAAGTTATCAACATACTACATAACAGGAATTATTTTTTAACACAACCATTGGCTATACTATATTAATAGTTCCCATTTTTTGGTTATTTTTAAGGTCGATATATTTCTCAAATTATTTTCGTACGGTTAAAAGATATTTCAATCAATTCCACTTTTCTTAACTATTGACGCATTATCTGATATCCGAGCAAATGAGTTTAAGTGGTTAGTTATTTATAATTGTACCATATTTATCCTGCATATAATTAAAAAAAATATGAGGTCATATGAACAAGTATATTGGATACTGATCGTGGTGAACATTGTAATAATACCCTATTTGTGGCCCATTCAAAGCATCGCCAACTAAAGTACATTATATATTAGTAGCTTATTCCTTTGTCTTCTATATAAGCTGTAGGAAAACAAAAGATAATTATTTTGCTTTAAAAAGAAGACTAATATTGGTCTATGCACGAAATTTAATGCATATTTACAGTACATTAGATGTTCAACCTCTTGGCATACCTGAAGATATTTTCAACTACAAATCAACCTTGCAAAATTTATTAGTTCATGCTTAAGCGGGACGATTGGTATTTCTAATGACCTCCCATTTTATTCTGCAATGTCAGACGTTTACATGTAGCAAGGTGAGCATAAGTGAAAGGGACATGAGCTCCTAACGAGATCTACCAATCTACTGTACTCAAACCCGGGTAACGTCGGCGTTTTACATTGCTTACTAATGTAGTATTAACCCCTTAACGTCCGAATAATTTTTCGGGTCTTGTAATGGATTATGTTGGTATCAGGCGAAGACTATAGACATATAGAACATGCTTTAAACGGCAATAGTGCCTCTTGTTACGAGTCAAGTACCTCTGGAGCCTAACTTGAAAGTGAACCGTACGGTCCTAAGGGCGTCAAAGGGTTAACCTATGCCAACTTAGCCAATGCACATATCACTGACGGATAAATCCGTCGAAACTTCGTAATCGCGAAAATTCATAATTCTAGAAGTCATTCACTGCTTTTGACCTGGCATTTTCCAAATAGTGTTGGTTCTCGTCATTCCCTTGTAACCCAAAATGTTCCTGACTATTTTACCAACGATTTTAGTGGGAAAAGAACGCCGAAATACTTCCGATCACACATATTAACAGCAAGCACAAGAAAATTATTTTACAATACGTATTCACGCGCGCATAACAATAGAGTATGGGAATACAGAGAAAATACACGGAGACATGTTTTGAACGAGAGACGGAGAAACAAAAAATGTAGAGAATAAAAGACAAGATGGGGGGTTAATGCAAGAGTGAGGAGGAGTTCAAACACCCACTGACGGTTCTTCCATTTTTCTAGTAGCTTCGGCAGCATGCTGTTCGGAATGGGTGATTGTTTGCCCCGCTGAGGTTTGAATAATATGCTCTTCTGATGATGTAGGTGTTGCCACTCGTGGAATTTCTGTGGAAGCACCGGCAGACGCGAATACTTGAGCGGCTGTGTAGGTCTCCCCACCATCAACAGAGACTAGAGTAGCTGTTCCAGGAACAGTACCATCTTCAGTGGATGAACCAGAGGAGGCAACAACAACAGCTCCAGACGGTTGTACCAAAAGCGTCTGACCCTATACAACAGAAGGCATACTGATGGAGAGAAGTGGGGAGAGCGTATTTACACACATACACAAGAGCGACAAGATTCCAAATGACACAACACAGCACATCATGCTCGCTCAAGCAGGGGAAAATGAGAAACAACGCGAATCTCAAGGGAAGGGAAAATAGTAGATCAATGTGAGAGAGGGATGAATATGCGCGGGAACATGCGTGATCAAAGCGTTATAGGAGTGATGAGATGGCAGAATAGACAGACAATTAGACAAATGGGACGAGGTGATGATAAGGAGGGGGGGAGGGGGGGGGNGGGGGGGGGAGGAGGAGGAGGAGGAGGGGAGTGATCATTTATCGGTGGTTTGATCACTTACGCCCGAGGTAAGATCCGAGAGCTATGAAAATGAGAAAAAAATATGAAATATAAAATACAAGTGATGCAACAATTGAGCATGCACGTAACGAATTGCTTTAATTTTACCCATTTATTTTTTTACCATCCTATTTGATTTACCTACATCAAATATTATGCCTCCAGACCAAAGAAGCCACCATTTTTCTATTAGTCTTTCATGAATCGCAGGTCGACAATATGAAAGAACTTGGAAATAATAAAAGATATCGGTTACGAAAGCCCCTTATTCAAACGTATTCGTAAAATTGGCGCTATAAGTTCCTTGATGAAGCAATTACATTATATGAATGTTGCAACTGGCATGCCTAGAATATTCGAGAGCTTTCTAAAGTAAAAACTTCACTCTTACAATACCACCAAATGACATGCATTAATTAGCAGTTGGCAGATTGATATCCATGCGCTATGATCCTTCTTGAACAGTAATTTTCTTATTTAATACACACCAAGTAGGCAGGTAGCAACTCTAGCGAGAAACTGCAATTTGATCCTGTTTTATTAACCTTGAAGAATACAATGCAGTATGTACCAAAAGGAAATGAATTTATAACCACTGATTTCGCAGATGACCATGTTGTCAAGTGCATTGCCAATTTTCTGATAAAAAATATACTCTCCGAGACACTAGACAGTGTGAGTAGTATAAATTACAGATCGATTCCTCATAAGCAGTAGGATTATAAAAATGTGTGAAGACCGTTATACATGGACAGTATCACCGACTAGTTATGAGCAAAAGCATAATTAAATCAATCCTTCCGCACAAATTTCGTGGAAACAACAAATCTGCTGAGAATTTGTCAATATAGCACTATTAGACAGTGTGATTGACCTTTCGATTATTGATTTGGGATCTGATTTAGGAAAAAGTGAAAAGTCCCCGATATACAGAGAAAATATCTCGTATAATGCACTAAAAACTCTAGTCCCAATGGCTTTACCTGAACATGGACGGTTTGCAACTTTCCGGTTGCTCCATCACCGGTCCCAGTGGGATTCGAGGCCGCCTGCTGATGTTGAACGGTTCCCGTGGTAGTAGCAGCCTGTGGCTGATTAACAACGTGCACTAATTGCAGTCCACCAGCCGTAGCCGCTGTACCCGCTACGCCACCGGTGGTTATCAAGGTTCCTCCAACTGCTTGAGCTACTGCGTCCGTACTCGCAGCCTAAACACACGTGGAAAGCTCTATGATTTGCACATACATGAACATTATTCGTGTAACGCTGGAAGCATTAGAGTTATCTCACTGGGAATCACTAACGGACTAAAGGTACATTGAAGTGTAGAAATGGTCAATCTAATAGAGGTAAGACAACTAATGCGAACTCGATACCCAAAGTTTGTATCTGCACTGCTTTTTCCCCTATTTCGGGATAATCAATCTCCACAAGCAGTCTTTAAGATGCCACCAATCGCCATCAATACACAGAGACTGCAGCTCCTGACAATTCGAAAGTTACTCGAGAGAAAAAAAATGTAAACGGTTTGAAGGTTGCTTTGATCTTCAAACGTTAACAATTAAAAAAAAAACATTTTTTTACATTGGCGTTGTTTCTTTATTAAAGCGCCTTATAGTAACCGCGTTATGACTCATCCTTCTCTTTAAGGATCTGAGTTAACACCAACCAAGCGATATCTATTAGACAGAAACAAAATAGCAGCAGAACCTAGACAACAGCATAGAAGCTTTGTGTAAAAGCTGAATAACTCATCGACCTACATAAGAAATTCAAATGTTGGCATAGATGGTATTTGACGGATAAATAAGACTTTGTGATATTTTTCCCCTTCACTTACTTGAAACTGTTGAGGCAGCATCTGAATTTGGAAGGGTTGACCATTTGAAGCTGTTGCTGCGGAAGCTGGCAACTGGATAACATATTGAATTTGCTGTCCAGAAACACCGGTTGCAGTTGCTGTGGGCACAGTGGCAAATTGAACAGTAGGCTGACCACCGGTGACAGTTGTCAACGTGCCATCAGCATTAGCCACTAGAGTTGCAGTAGTTTGTCCAGCAGTTTCACTCTTAATGGAAACGTCCTCTCCACTAGCGTGTTGCTGAACAACGTGAACTTGGGCTTGTTGGACAAGAGAGGAACCGGCCATTTGTTGAAGGGCTGATTGGGTATGCTGTTGTTGAGACTAAAATAGGGAAAGATAGGAATGTGCGTATATAATGAAAAAAAATAAATGACGAATAATTGCAGCACAAATGGGATTGTCTAAGTTGGTTGTCTAATGGAACTTCAATAAGCTCTGCTAAGTTAAAGCCATATAAAGTAACATACAATTGTTATTTCGAACCTATGAAGTCCTCGTTACATGTAAAAGCTAACGTACCTGTTGAATGGCGCCATCGCAATAATCCATTCAGATTCACACTACCTTCTACACTCAGATGAACTAGTAGAAGGAATTTGTACAAGGGAGATAATTAACACATAGCTGAATTTTCTTACCATTAGTAAAGAAATATAGGCACTTTAAAAAATTTCATCTTAAACATAGCTTGAAGTTTGCGCCGGTTGTGAATTTATTTCAAAGCATGGTATGTTGTAACCAAATTATAGCTTAATTTTAAAGCATAATTCGCGTCAATCTAAGGTCTCCATGAAAGTATTGCAGGATTGTGGGTTTCATAAGCAATGTCTTCGTAATGATGTTCTCAAAAAAGGGATAATAGGGCGAATTAATCTCAAAGGAAAAAAATCACACTATAGCACATGTAAACGTGAGAAAAAAAAACTATTACGATAGATGCGAAGTAAAACAACAAATATCTAGGAAAATTCAGCACAAAAAGGACAGCAAAAAGTAACGAGCATAACTTACATCAGAGAGCTGAAATCAATGCACAATTAACATAAATTATAACCCCAAATTTAAACTGCAAGGTCCCGAAAGGGGGATATTTTTAACTCTGGAGAAGAGAAATCTGCACCATTGATTATAACCAAAAATTAAAGGGTGATCATATTAAAAGAGAACTAAATATAAAATACGTATAAAAACGATTGAGAAACTAGATATATGTGTAAGCTAATTTAGATGTCGAGGTTAAGCTGTCGTCAAATGAATAATCCTGATAATACTGACAGCACTAAACGCCTTAGCAACCAGTATCCAAAGCGAAATATTCAGAACACTTTAATTTAAACGGCTGAAGAAACCGAATCCGTAAGTACACCTAAAACAATAAGATAGTATGTAAATAGCCAAACTATGAATGACGAATCGAAAAGATATAATCATATAAAAACGGCTTAAAATTAAAATGATTGACAACCTCACCCACAAAAACGCCTGCATGTGAAAATTATTCATTAAACTAAACCCTATCACTCGAAATTCATATATTACTGAAAGAGAATTTATTTAAAGATTTTCAATCACTGCAACGGAACAAGGAAGAATTACAACAAGGGCTCGTTTAATAGAAAAAATAAGCTCTCATGGAAAAACGACATTAAGCACAGGGAATTTGACGAATATATTAAGATTGATCGAACTGAAATAGAGAAAAGGCAACTTAGTAAAGATGCCTCCGAATAAAAACTGAAGTTAAGACCATTCGACTTGTAAAAGTCGTAAAAAGTCTTGAGACAGTTTAATTCTTACCCGGCGATGAGCGCGACCTTCTTCACGTGGAACTATATCGATAAGGAAATCGAATTGATCTGTATCGCCAAAGGATACAGCCATGGAAATATCATTCCTTTGCAGAGTTCTCCTACGGTTACGGTCTGTATGAAGCCAGGCACGTAAAGTCAACTCTCGAATAAAAAGTTCTGCTGCTTTAGCGAATAAAATAGGAGCCTCTGCGCTAATCATCTAAGGAAAAAAGTTAAGTTATTTAAAGTGGAATTACCATATTTTTCACGTCATCATCCAGCTTCATTATCTTCTTAATACGAGCGAGTGGAAGATCCTGGGTCTTAAAGGAGTTCTGTTCCGGTTTAAGACATTCGGCTTCCTGTTTAGCCTTCTCCCAAAAGTCAGCTATATGTGCTGCCGCATCGCTATTAAGGTCCGTTGCATAGTCCATCTTCAACCGAAAAGCAAATGAGACATAAATAACTATTTTGAAAAAAGTTAGAGAACGTAAAATAAGCAGAAGATAAGAAAAAAATAAGAACACATGGACAGCGAGTGTAAAAATAGCAATTTTGAACAAAATTACCATAAATAAAATTAAAGACAAATCAAAATTGAGGTCCAAGCCTTATTCGCCGAGACAAAAATTGATCGTGAGAATAATCGTTATAAACAAACCAAATAAAACAAAGCAGTCTTCATGCAAGCCAGTAGTGAACTTGCAACTTACGATTTTTATTTCGTAATGATATTTTGGGAATTTATAATATTAATCAGAATTAATTTTTTATACTCGGCCTGTCTCATAAATCGTTATAGCGTTTCCAGGGTTTTAAAGCTTTTGAAATCTAAGTAGACTTTCAATACTTATATTACTGTTCTTTAGCTATCTATGGTTTAGTGACAGTAAATAATGAATTAAATTAGTGTTCTGGAATGGTGAGCTGACAAAATAATTCCCTCTCAAATAGTTTTTGTGTGAGTCCTCCGTTATGTTAACGTTATTATCAATTGATTATACCTATTTTTTTCTTTTTCATTATTTTATTCAGGAATTTTAGCTATGAAATATTATTTACATTGGTTATTTCTCAGAAAGAACCTGTTTTTTTCATTGAGTCAATAGACTATCAGTATCAATGCCGGATTGTGTGACCTCCATTTCAGAGCAGGCACCAATGCAGAACATAAAATAACGAATTCGATCGCAATAAGTTAAGTAGTATGTTGTCTGGCCAGAATTCAAACAGTTATATCCTTTCTTTTCCTTACAGCCCCTTTGCTAATAATTTCGTATCTTGTACAGTTGCACGAAAATACATTTCTCTCTATATAAGCGATATTTCTCTTTCTATTCAGCAGGCCTTAATTTAGGAAAAGCGAATACTTGACTGCGTTCAGGATCCCTACAAGATTTTTTAAAGATAATTGTATCTTAATTGGCCATCAACAGATTAACCAAAACCTAGAAGCCGTCAAAATAAATAAGACAGTTTGAATTTGAATAAATGGTTGATTCTATTCATTATCTACTTAAAAATCACAATAGTCAAAATCATGAAAAAATATAACCCAACCAGAAGCTGTTTGACTTTAAAAATGACAAATTATGAATAATCTTTCTTTAACAAAATACTCGACGACAAGAAATTTTAATTATTATCTTAAGCATTCCCAATTTATATATATATCATTGTTTGCATAATATCTATTTGATATATCATTACCAAATGTGTTATTAAATTTCCTTGTTTATTTTCTCTATCTAAATTAGAAATTATGTCATTAGTTGCTAAGTATAGAAACCAAAACAAGAATTCCCAATTATTTTAAAAGATGGTCATTCCTTTTTCGATTTGAGGTATTCATTTAAAATGATGTTTGTATAAGAAATTGATAAATAGAATATTATAAATTTATTTATTTTACTACTTATATCTCTTAATCGAGTAAATTAACCTTGACGCCCCGCTGATTTTATGCAAATTCTTCAATGTCAAAGTACAGCGTAATTTCAAATGCGGTTCTTAAAAATGCTCATATGTCAATTCATGATACCCAAAATACGACAAAATATCATGAGGAGGAATTTGTTCAGAGCAAATCAATTTTTTTAAATCTTGAGTTTTTAAGTACGTAGCATACTATTATAAGTGATGATAAAGATATAATCAGAATGCAAAATCTTGAATCCTTATCTAATTTAACATATCTTAAATTAAACAACAACAAAATCGAGAAAATTGAAGGTCTGGATAAATTGCATCATCTTCAAATTATCGGTTTGTTGTCTACTAACTTGTTTGAATAAGTTAGATCTGTCTTTTAACAAGATAAAGAAAATTGAGAATATGGACCATCTCTCAAATTTGCGTGACTTCATAATCAGTCACAATCAGCTAACCTCTTTTGGAAAAAGTTTTGGAAGCCTAAGTCGACTCGAATTGCTTGTTTTGAATAATAATAAACTCGATAACTTAGAAGAGGTGAGAACAAATTCATATACATTGCCAGATTTTGAACTTACGGAGTTGTCCTTTGCTAAAAAGTTTAAGCATGGAGAGCAATCCCCTAAAAAAATCCGAGGATTACTTTGAATACATTATTACATTTCTCCCTAATCTCATTTACATTGATGGAAGAAACAAGAAATCCATTAAGGTAATTGGGATTCTATCATCTATTTCAGTGTCGTGACGAATTGTTTATTACATATACGACGCAATTGAATGAATTGATGAAACATGAACAAACTATCATAGTTAAAAACATAGAAGAAACTAAAAGACAACAAAAAGAAGCATTTGATAAAGCTGCATTTGTCTGGGGTCTCGACTCAGTAGATGTTTTCCAAAGGCTCTTTTCAAACAAATATGACACCATCCTGTGTAATCTTCCCGGAAACATGAAAAATTTTCAAGAATATCCTTTTAGAGTTACATTTCTCTACCCTTTTGAGATTGTTTCGGTTTTATTTTCCTTAAGTTGGCACATTTCAGAATAAAATTTCAGAAATCTGTAAAAGAATATATTCCATCGGTATTGAATCGAAAGAAAATCGTGAACAAGAAGTGAAACAAATCGAAGAATTCCTATGCGAATTTAATCAATGTATCAAATCTATGTCCACCCAGTCAGTTGAAATGTATATGTCAATCAAAAATGAGGTAAGCATAATCGTTGGATAATATTTGGTAATACTATTTCAACTAATTCTCGATTTATCCTTTTTTAATTGAAGAATTTAATTTCTTCATCGAGGTATGACAAGGAGATAATTTGTGAGAATGATGGCATAAATTTGGTTCTACAATCATTAGATCAGCTCTATTACGATCTTATGAAAATTGAAGTGGAATTTGAAGATCAGCTGGAGGATAACATGGATGAATTTGAAAGAACATTATCGGCAATAGTTGACAACTTTTTGCAGAAAATTGGGGTAAGTAACCGCTTCGAAATCAGTATGGATTTATATAAAAGATTGAAATCACGCTGCGGGAATGTTTTTTATTACAAATTAGACATCAAGAATATTTGGTATTGCTGGTATGAATGAATGTGTTAGATTTTACAATTTCGTAATTATCACGGAACATTAGTATGGGGTATGAGAAGTACAAGCTAAGAAAATAAGGATGTTTCAAGATTATATGGTGGCATTAATACATTTGCCAATGAGTAAAGTGGGAAATTCTATCAATGTTCCATTTGAGGATGCAATCAACTGGTTAATAAAACCGTCTGATGTAGTATTAATAGTAAAGATACCAAATCGAACTGCATAATATAAACTTTTGAAGTTTACAACGTTATAATTTTTCATCGAGAGCAAACATCTAAACTGGCTTATAAAGTCACAAAAGTTAATCTGGATGTTTGCGCATTGTGTCTGCGATTTTAATGTAATGCGATTTCTGGCATATGTTACCATTATTATTTCAGGAAGAAATGGCTTTATGCCGTGAGGTTGCAAATGAATACAATGAACAATTAACCAATCACTGTCTTCATTTGTTCGAAAAAGCTTCTCTTGAAAACTTTGGAATTGAAGTTACACCACAATTAAAGAAGGTTAGTTCATTTAGGGATTGCTTTCATTTGAGTGATATTAGACAATGATAAAGTAGAGGAAATGACAAGCAAATAGAAGGAAAATAAATAAGAATGAAATATAAATGAACGATTATAGCCAAGTCAAATTGCTTTTTCTTTCAGATATTTCAAGATAAGGACGCTCTTATGGATGCTCTTGCTGATTGCCGAGCAGAAAGAATAAATTCTATTGATGTGAAGACGGATGTTATCCGTGATGAATGCTTTAGATGGCTTGAAAATATTATTGAGGGATTTAAAAAGACGCAAATTATCGATCGTAAAAATAACAGGGTGTTTGAAATTCGAAATTTTATCGAAGACCAGCGAAAGGAGCTTATTTCATCTATCGGAAATACTATTTAAAGAATTTATGCGAAAAATCCTTATGAAATTCTAGCAAGCACGAGGTACAAATAGGAAGACATTTTATCTATTTTAAAAGTTTTCGAAATAGCATTAAAATACTAATATTAATTTCGTTTAATACGTTTTTTGGGTCTGAAAATATATGATACGTGGGAAAGATCAGAAATGGGCAGACTTCCTACATACATTGAAATTGACCTATTGTGACTTGGAAAGACACTAAGTGCTAAGGGAATAACAGTGATACATATTTTAACCAAGTAAGACCTTTAAGGAGCGGGTTATAATGAAATTAAACTCTATGTTTCAGTTACAGGCCCAATAGTGATTTCTACTATTATTTAACCTATTGTCACGTTATGACATTTGCCTTATAGCCCTCTTACATGATTTAATACACGGATATCCCGAAAATATATGAGGCAACAAAATATTTTCCCTCTAATATAAATGTGATTATGACCTAACTAGGTGACCACATATTTGCAGCGCATTCGGTATGCAAACGCGCACAACAAAATTTTGAGACTCTTTGCGTAGTTTGCTTATCCCATATGCAAATAAAGTTTAAATTTGTTTACGGTAATATGTCAAAATGACAATATTTTTACAAAATGGAGAAACCCTTTTTAATATATCACATTTTCGCATTGTACAGTACATTTTGCATTCTATGAAGTGGCACATGGCGAATTGCAATTGTAGGTAAAATGGAAAAATTGACGGTGGCCACTAATGCCACAACTAGTAGCGTAACTTGATTATTCGACATAACGTTAAGTAACAATTTAACGACCAGTATCGATTAACTAAATTTGTTAATGATTTAAATAACGAGAAAGAATTATTCTTCCGTAGAGCATGTTTGAATAAATGCCATAATTACTTCTGTGATAGGTAAATAGTTATCCATTTCGACGGTTCCACGAAAGTTGAAATTAATGACTTAATAAGATAGAAAACAAATATATTGGCAGGAATTTAATATTATTTGGAAAATGCCAGGGGAGTATTCTTAGATGATATATGCATTCAATATAGCAAAATTCATTTGTATTTCAAATGCCTGGAACATCGGCTTAATACACATTATAAATAAAGATTACAGAAAGAAGCAAAATAATGCTCTCTTTGCAATGATTGTATGGATAAAAACTATGGTGTGAAAGAAAGTTTGTCCAAGTAGGAAGAATAGAACCATAAAGCGGATCCACTATAATTAAACATGTGTATTTATTTTTTATTTTGTTAAACGCTACAAATTTAGTTTAATTTTTTAAAAATTTAATTGAAATAACCATTTGTTGTTGTTGATGTTGATGCATTCCCAAGATCACCTTTCAATTTCAAGGGCGACCTTTTCCTGGCCGCGGTTTGGTGTTAGTCGTGGTTGTCCGGTTTTATTATTCTTTTGTTTTCTTTTAATTAAAAATACTGTCAAATAATATTTTATTTAAACTGATGTTATAATGATTGGTAATATCGCCGAAGTGCTTATTGTTGCTTATTTACTTTTAGCAAGTTTCTGCATTTTCAATATTTCAGAAAACCACTTAAATAATTTATGATGATTAATTTGAATGAATTAACCTATCGCGGAGAGGGAAATAACAATATCGTTTTATCAGATAATAATGGTAATATATATAGAATCAGGAAAACAACAAATCCCGCTTTGGTAAGAAATCATCTTTCGGGTTGATGATTATTGTTATATTTAGCTTCCAACCAAGAAAACTCGAGCATTTAAAAAACGTCGGCAGTTAACTGTTCTTTTTGGCAGAAATAGAATGGCTCATTATTTCGGTTCAAATTTTGTGCATCCATTTGTACGTTGTCTATTTTATTTAAGTAGACTGCCTTTTGTTTAATAAATTTACCCAAATTTTACCTTTTAACAGGAAGTTGTCGAGGTAGATTCTTCTTTTCTAAAGGCTATTGAAGAAAAGTTCGCATCTGTGAGGCCAGGTATACATTTTTTAAATTTCGTGCATTTATTACGATAACTTATCAAATGTGCATTTATTTAACAGTCTTTAGATTGAATCGGGGCGTTGATTTTAATTCCAATCGGATTCTTACCACCTCGGATGCTTCACGCATTCCACCTCAATTTGACCTGTTCTGCGAAGGCCCAACACTTTGCGTCGAGATAAAGGTACTTTATTTCACTTTTCACGCTCTTTATACACGTTCTTATGTTCAATTTTATATTACAGTTTCAATATTGGTCGCTGTTCATCGATTTTAATTTATGCCTCACATCATTCTAGATTGACACGATTGCTGATGCATTCTCTTGAATTTTGAGTAGATTTACTGAATGCTGTTTAATTCATTCGATTTTAATTTTCTTTTATTAAACTATTACGGTCCCTTTTGGAACAATCGTTAACATTTCTCAATTTAACTTTATAAATTTTTATTTTAATAAATTTACTGCTTTTTGGACGTATTTAAAAAGGTAATACTTTGTGTCTCGTGATAATCGATATAAGTGTAGATTTGTCTTCCTTTATACGATGTGCCGATTTTTGAGCTTTTTTAAAAAAAATTATATAAATATTTAGGTATTCATTTTGAAAATTGTATAAATTTTAATGGGAATTTGTGAACAATTACATTTTGCATGCAGTTGAAGTGAATTAGCTATTCGTTTGATTTACTGACTTAAAATGATTTTTAAATCGATTGTATTGTGGCTTATTATAGAAGAAAATGAATACATTTTTCTTACATAATATCTTCTTAATTTGATTCTTGCTTACTTTCAGATTAGCCATAACCTTAATTACCATAGGGATATTCATAAACTTAGCATAACCTCGTATTTTAACATAGACAAAATTTTTTTAAGTAATTAAAATCGAGTTTTTATTTCATTTTTAGCCGAAATTTGGAGCTATTCCATGTGGACCTGCAGAGAATGAGATCGAAGCCGTGATTCGACGCAACGCGATGTTTTGCATTATGCAATACCATGAGGTTTGTATATTCCTTTTTTATATTTGAGGCTATTGATTTGTGCCTGAAACAAAAAGTTGGAAAAATCAGTTTAGACGTCTCACGATTTGTCGGAGGGAAAATTGCATTTCAAAGGTCTTACTAGTTAAAAGAGGAGTTTTTTGTTTTTAAAAAATAACTTTTGAAAATCGGTTTTGTGAGAAATTGCTCTAGGTATTATCTTTTCATAAAAAAGCGAACATCCTTGGAAGTTAAGCATTTAAGTTCAATTGTGGAAAACGGAAGGGGTATAAAGTCGAGAAAATTAAAATAAATTATACTTTAAAGGTTTTTTCCTTCAATGAAACCTTTATGTCGCATTTGTTCCCTCTATAATACCTGCGAATAAATTTCTTTTGGCAATCAACCTCAACTTCAGTGGAATGCAAAACCTGCTTCTATCTATAGTTGCATTAACCCTATTCCCCTGAGTTGTTTATCTTAAGCCTTTAAAACTGAGTTTTGGAATAACATCTGCCACTCAAAATCTTGGCATTTCCTTATTTCTATTAATTTGACTAAAATACTCCGCATTTATTTGTACTTTTGTGTAACTGTGCCGTTGGAATTCCAAATCGTTTCATTTCTCCCCATTAATATATTTGGTTGGCAACTAAGTCATTGCCGATTTCAAATAAGAAGGCAAATTCGGAATTTTTGTTTAAAAATATAGCTTTATTCAATTAGATATTGGTCGTTCTTGTCGATGACCTTTTTCCATCATTCTGGCAGAGTAAAAATTCCCCGTTCGTTAAAATGTCTGGTCTTTGCTATTAAAAAACTGAATTAGGTGTGATCCGACATCATCCGCGTTGTTAAAAATTTTACCATTTAAAGAGTTTTGCATGGAACGAAACAAATGGTAATCCGAAGGCGCAAGGTCAGGGCTATATGGTGGGTGTGACAAAACATCCCAACCCAGTTCCAATAATTTTTGCCGAGTAACCAAAGATGTGTGGGGCCTTGCGTTATCATAATGGAAAACAACACCCTTCCGATTTGATAATGCCGGCCACTTATCTTCAATTGCATCCTTCAGTTTTTCGAGTTATTCAACATACAGATTTGAATTCATCGTTTGGTTCTGCGGCATGAGTTCAAAATACAAATTCCTTTGTGATCCCACCAGACTGACACCATAATCTTTTTTGCTGAATCTCTGGTTTTGATACTGTTTGGGCTGGTTGATCTTGCTTCACCCATGATCTCTTGTGAGTAACATTGTTGACAGACTATTCACTTTTCGTCGCCAGTAACTAGGTTCTTCAGAAATGGATCATTCTCATTGCGTTTCAGTAGCGGCGAATCACAGATGCTAATCCGTTGTGTCAAATGAATTTCCTTTAACTGGTGAGGGATCCATAAATCAAGTTTCTTGACACAACCAAGGGTTTTTAATTTTTTTTTTCAATGCATGTATGCGACACATTGAGTTTCTCTGCTTTGATATGGGTTTCATCCACTTCGACTGGGCGGCCAGATCGTTGTGATTTTTTCAGTGAAAAATCACCGGAACGAAATCTTTCAAACCAATTTCGACACTGCCTTTCTTTTAAGGCTTCATCTCCATATACGGCACATAACTTCTTTTGTACTTGCGATGCGTTCTTGCCTTTTCGGAAGTAATACAATAAAATGTGTCGGAAGTGCACGTCCTGTTCCTTCATTTTTAAATTGGGATAAAAACAAAACTAAAGAATTAAACAAAAAAATTTTTTACTAATTAACCTAGAAGCCCATACAGTAAGAAAAAAATATAGGTTAGATGCTCTGGCCACGTTAACAAAACAAAAGAAAGTATAGAGTGAATCCGTCAACAAAACGGCAATGACTTAGTTGCCAACCCAATAGAATCGCGCTTACCCAAATTCAAGGTAATTGAAATATCACTGTCAAGGCTTTAAAAGCTTTTGATCTCGGGTCGTTTTTTTTTTATTCTCCGCAGGTCTTAATTTCAGTTCATGTACCTGGTCGACTATCATCGCATGCATTTT